AAGAGAATAAATGGATATTTGATAAGTAAAAATAAAATAAGTGTAGAAACCAAATAAAAGGCAGAGGGAGGCACACTCCTCCAGAGGTGGGAGTGACTTTCAAAGTCCTTGTTTGCCCAACCTCCTTGTCTCGCATTAGGAGAGACCAAGCATCGGGAGGCCGGTGACTTCCCTGTGTTTACATGGCGAGGGGTGCCAGAGCTGGGGCTCACACCTTTTTTTCTCAACTCTGACTCTCGTGTGCTCTTTGCTGTGGGGGGTCTTGCATGGTCATGGAGCATGAGATTTGAAGGCAAATGCCTGGGTTCCATATGGGCTGTCTTCTCAGAGTTGATATGATCTCGAGTAAGCCATTAACCTGTTGGACTCTTTCTTCATCTGTAAAGTGGGGGTGATCATGTGCATTTTAAATAGAAACTTTGAAGATTAAATGAGATAATATATGAAAGAGTGCTTTTCTTGTAAACTCTTAAGTATTTTACAAATGTCAGTACTGTGCCACATCTTAGTGTTTTCAAAGAAGCCTAAACCCACTGGAGATGGGGGTGGATGGGGGTACCGTCCAGACCCTGTTGCTGATCCTGTTCCCAAGCCCTCTCTGACCCTCTCCCACTGACCCTGTAGATGAGATCTTTTTAATGTATTTCTAAAAAGGAGCTAAAAAGTTTTTGGAGCGTCAGCTCTATGGAGGAGAGAGGAGGCCTGTGGGATGGCCCAGTGTTTTAGCTTCTGGGTCCTGGCTCCCTCATCAGTGGAAGGAAGGGGTTGCCTCATGTCTAAAGGCTCCTTTCAGCAGGAAGCTCCATCAATCCTCATGAACAGGTTGAGCTCAAATTAGGAAGGCGAGGCTATTACCAGACAGGCTCCCAAACAGGGCACAAAGCAAGAGGCGGCGGCATGGCTTCCAGCTTGAGAGATTTGTTAGATCCCAGAAAGAACTTTCTGGCATTCAGAGTGGTTAAATGCTGGAAACAGAGAAGGCAACAAAGGTCGTGGAAACTGCGTTCTGGAGGTCTTTATAAAGAGAAGAAAAATTCAACTGGAGCTCTGTCGGAACTGGGGAAATAGACTAGGAAGCACCCACAGCTGTCTCCTGCCACTGCTTGTTGGTGCTGGGGGTTTCGTTTGTGCTGTGGGAGAGGGGTGGGGGTTCATTTGTGCTGGGGGTTTTGTGCACCTAGGTGGCCATTCTTGGGATCTCCCACATCTGTTCTGGGTTCTAAACTTTGACCCCGTTTCTACTTCTTCCTTCTTAAGGGCATCCTTCCCAGGGCTTGGTCTGGGTGCCATAGCTCCACATACTAAAAGCTCCACATGGTGATTGATAGACTGCTTTGTATGTAATGATAAACATGGGGAATTTCCTGCTAAGATGACCAATCAAAGAGAAAACAGAGGAGCAAGTTTTATTAAAAATTTTTAAGGAGCATGGTATAAAAACTTCCATTGGTTTTATTTTTGCTGCCATTTTTTCAGTGTGTATCTGTCTCCCTTCCTCATTTTTAACCCTCTTGAGACTGGATAGAGATTTCCCAATCTAGTATAAAAGTAATTATATTCAAAGACAGATTTTTTTTTTTTCTTCCTAAAGGTATCAAGTTAATTGTGTTTTCTGGGGCTGATTGTCTTTTTTTAGTCCAGGTGTGAAATGATAACTTGGTGCTGATGATAGTTTGCATTTGTAAGTCCTTTTCATATACATGATCTCATTTTGTCCTCCAGATGTCTCTGTGACTTGTTCTTTTTGTTCCATTGCTCAGATGAGTAAACTGAGGTCCCACTCGGCAAAGCTCACAGAACCAGTGTCAGCTCTGCTGTGAATACTGCTCTTTTCCCATCTTGTTCTACCACTATACAACACAGCCCCAACAGTGGGGAAGCTACAGGGTTCCTTGTTCTCTAGCTGGCCGGATCCCCTGAGCTTCCCTGTGGCTGGCAAAGGCAAGCTGGCTTGAGACAGTGTTTTCACTGGTTGGTAGGAGAATGAAGACCTCCCCAGCAATGCAGTGAGTTTGAAAAGGAGCATAGTTTTATGCGTTAGTTTCCTGGGAGAACTCTAACAAAGTACCAGCAACCGGGTGGCTTAACACAACAAAAATGTATTAGCTCATAGTTCTGGAGGCCAGAAGTCTGAAACCAAGGTGTTGGCAGGGCCACACACCCTCTGAAGGCTCTAGGGAAGATTCCTTCCTCGCCTCTTCCCGGCTTCTGGTGTTACCGGCAATCCTTGGTGTTCCTTGACTTGTAGTGGCCTCACTCCAGTCGCCACTTCCGTCATCACATGGTCATCTTCCCTGTGTCTGTGTCCATATCTCTCTCTCCGTCTAAGGACACCAGACATTAGATTTGCAGCCCAGCCTACTCCACTATGACCTCATCTTGACTTGATAACATCTGTAAAGACCCTGTATTCAAATAAAGTCACATTCACAGGTACCAGGTGTTAAGACTTCAACATGTCTTTTTCAACCCACAACACCTCATCTTAGTCTAGCCTTCCTGCTTGTTTGATTTAAAAATTACCCTTTTAATACATGAAATTACAGTTCTCATAGATGGTAGTTTTTATTTTATAAATGTATGAGACTCAGAAAAATAACAAACCGTCATATTTCTATCACTCAAGTGAACAATTGACATATATTTTCTTACAATATTTTTTAAGAACAAAAAATTACAAATATAGATTTAAAAATTATTGTTAACCATCTTCTCACTTACATTATCTTCTCTTTTTGCTGAGAGCAGTGGTTCTCAACCAGTGCAGTTTTGGGGGTGCTACTGTCATCTAGTGGGTAGAGGCCAGGGATGTTGCCAATCATCCAACAATGCAAGGAGCGCCTGCAACAAGGAATTATCTAGTCCCAAATGTTAATAGCACTCAGGTTGAGAAACTCTATTTTAAAGAGAAGAAAAATCATGATACTGACCTACATCCTTCTAGAAATATTCATGCTTTTTCATACATTTACAAGCCTGAATGCTGAATGTTATTGTATTGTGCATGAGTATTCTCTTAATGCATACAAATAGTATTTTTTTTTTTTTTTTTGAGATGGAGCCTCACTCTTGCTCGGGCTGGAGTGCACTGTTGCAATCTTGGCTCACTGCAAACTCCGCCTCCTAGGTTTAAGTGATTCTCCTGCCTGAGCCTCCCAAGTAGCTGGGATTATAGGCGTGTACCACCATGCTGGGCTAAGTTTTGTATTTTTAGTAGAGATAGGGTTTCACCATGTTGACCAGACTAGTCTCGAATTCCTGACCTCAAGTAATCTGCTTGCCTTGGCCTACCAAAGTGCTGGGATTACGGGTGTAAGCCACCACATCTGGCTTAAATAGCATTCTCTTAATGTGTATAAACAGTGTTATCACATATTTTGCATCTTGCTATTTTCCTTTCTTCAACATTTTTAAAGATTTATCCATGTTCATATATGTATGTGTATATAATATACTTTTGTGATTTCTTTTAACTGGTTTGTAGTTTGTTGCTTTATAAAAAGGCCTTTATTTGAGGCCCAGTGTTCAAAACCAGCCTGGGCAACATAGCAAGACCCTGTCTCTACAGAAAAAAAAAGTTACCTAGGCATGGTGGTGCACACCTGTAGTCTTAGCTACTTGGGAGGCTGAGGTGGAAGGATTACTGGAGCCTAGGAGTTTGAAGCTATAGTAAGCCATGCTCACGCCACTGTACTCCAGCCTGGGCAACAAAGAAAGACCCTATCTCTCTCTCTTTTTTTCCTAAAGTCTTTACTTGATGAAATAAAAAATTAATCTTATGTCCTTATTAGGCACATTCTCTTTTTGGAGGGATCAAATTTTACTTCCCCATAACATCTGTAAGTCTGGAAACCTGGCCCGATGCCACAGGGTAGACCCCCAGTCCTGGTTAGAAAGCATCTCCATTTTCTGGGATATTAATTCTCTCTGAGAACTTAATCCTTCTAGAATAAAGCAATATCAAAGGCCCCAGGAGTCCTCAATCAGTTGCTAAGAAGAATGAAATTGCATCACAATTCTAATGTGTAGCATCAGTAAGGCATGGCCTTCCTTGGCTTTTCAAATTCTCTACCTTCCCTCATTTCTTTTTCTTACCTTTGGGATTGGAAGAGTCAGAAGTGCCGGAGTACCTAAGCTGTGAGAATTTCCTTTAATGCTTGAGGATTTCTGAAAGAGAGCCCCTCTGTATTGGTTTGAAGGCTGCCATAGTAAACTACTACAGCCTGGGTGACTTAAACAGCTGAAGTCTATCTTCTCACAGTTCTAGAGGTTGAAGTCCAAGGTGTTGGCAGGACTGATTTCTTCTGAGGCCTCTCTCCTGGTGGGCAGATGGCTGCATTCTCTCCGTGTCATTACATTGCTTTCCCTCTGCGTGTATCTGTGTCCAAGTTACCACTTGTTATAAGGACACCAGTTGATTGGATTATGGTCCACCCTAAGGGCCTCATTTTAACTTAATTAGCTCTTTAAATAATCTAACTCCAAATACAGTCACATTAGGTACTGGGGATAAGGAATTTGGGTGGGAGAGGGGATTCAGTTCAGCCCCCAACAATTCCTGTCCAATATACAGGGTGACTATTTCCAGGGGATAGGGAGAATCACTGGAAATTTTATGTGACATCTGATGCTGAGATTTTTAACCCAATGTTAAATTTAAGGTTAGTGGGATTAGAAAATTAGACCTCTTAAAGTGAGGTCCACTGAGATTTTGGTTTCCAGGAGACACTGAATAGCATGAGAATTTGAAAAAGGCCACTGTTGAGAAACCTCATCAGATAAACACAGACGACCATGTAGCCCAAGTCCAAATTATTAATCTCAAAGGCTGACCAATAAAAGACTCAGTGGAAAGCACCCTGATCCAAGTTAGAAGGCTTGGGTTTCATCTTGGCCCTGCCTCTTGGCCGTGTGACCTCGAACAAGTTACTTAGACTTGATGTCTTAATTTTCCCCATCTCTAAAGTGGAGGTAATAATACATCAGTGGATTTATGCAAGGATAAGATGAGCACAGTGCTGGGTATCTGGTGAGTTTTCAAAAATGTTATTTGTTCCTAGAATCTGAATCTAAGGAGCTTGGACTCTTTCCTATTGGCAGCAAGGAGCTTCTTTAGAAGCCGGGGAGTGATCTGCTTAAATGTGAGTTTTAGAAAGTTAATTCTGGCTTGGAAGCAGTACATTAGGAGAGTTGGAAGGAGAGAGAGGTTGGAAGTACAAAGATCAGCTATTAGGCTTTTGAAATAATCCAACTGATGAAGACCTGTTTGAACTGAGTTACTGAGGTGGATGGGGATGGAGGGTAGAAGGGGAGAGGGGTATAGATAGAGAAAAGGAGAGAGAAGGAAAGGAGGGATATTGAGGAGATAGCTTCAGAACATAAGAAAATTGATTGGATGTGAGAGTATGAGAGAGAGGAGATGAGGAGAGTGGGATAATGCCCAGGTTGCTAGCTGGGCCTACTGAGTGAATGAATGAGAATACTAAGGAGGATAAATTCAGAAGGAACAGTTAAGAGAGGATGTGAAGGAGGAAAACAATGAGTTTGGTTGTAGTCAGAGTATGTCTGAGTTGTGTGGGGGGCATTCAGGACTAAGAGGGTCAGGGATAGTGAGTAGTTTGTGAAGAGATCTGGAGATGGAGCTCCAGGGTCCCTGACATCTGAAGGGTATCTGAAGAGTGACAGGGAGAAAAGGAGCACCTGAGAGTGACTTTCAAAGGTGTGCAGAGAGGGAGGAGGGGGAAGTACCCAAACATGCCAGGAAGGGGGCCCGACAGCAGCAGATGCAGCAGGAAGGCCTGGGAGGTGGGAACTGAGAAGAAGCTCTGGTATGGTATTTTGGAAGCCACTGGTAACTTTGGGGAGAGCTGTGTGAGTCAGGGACATGTGGGGGCAGAAGCCGGAATGCAGAGGATGAGGATAGAAAGGGAGAAATGGAGATGATGAGTTTTGATGGAGAAAAGGATCACAGAGAATATCTTTAAGGCGAGGGAAGAGGGAAGAGTCCCGTTTTCTTATAAGGTAACTGGCATGCTGCTGGGGGAAGGGGGCGGGTGGGGAACCTGTAGAGGTTTGAGAAAGTGTTGATAGAACAGGGTCCCAGGGAGGTCGCAGGGCTGGGAGAAGGAGCACTGGGGAGAAGTCAGTTTTAAAGGGACCATTTTTCATTGAGAAGGGAAGTAGGGAAGGTAGGTAGGAGAGAAAGTGAGTAGCCAGAGGGGAGAGAAGCACAGGCCTTCATGCCTAAAAGCCTCATTTTTTTTTTTTTCAGTAAAAAAGGATCCCCTGTGGCATCTGCTGAATGAGGAAGGGGAAAAGGGTTTGGAAGAGCTGGAGAAAGGAGCATATTGGGGAAAAGTTGAAGGATTGCTAAGTAGCTGAGGTTGAGAGTGACAGAACCATACTGTAGTTGCATTTGTTGGCGTAGATGGGGTTTTGATTTCTAGTACCTATTTGTTTATCAGGAGCAGGGGAAGTGGTTGCTTAGATTCCTCAAGATAGAGAACCAGAGGGTGGTGGAAGTTCAGGGGGTGAGGGAATGATTGACTATGAAACCTCTTCTAGGTAAGAAGTGAAGAGAATGGAGTATGGGAGGGGTGATAGACTGTGAGTGAAGAGATTAGGGTGCCATATAGCTTTGGTCAGGTTAGCAAGGAGGGTTAGGAAGAGACAGGACATAGAAATAAGATTTTTCTGAGATAGGTATTTGTTGGAGAGGTAATTCTGGGTGGGGTTGAAGTCCAGATCGGTGATAAGGGAGTGGGAAAAAAGGTGCAGGTTACTGGAGAGGAGGCACAAAGGCCATGAAGCCAGGGCACTGAGCACATGGACATTGATCACCATAGTGGGAGTCAGGGTGCAGAGGGAAACATAGCCAGTTACATATCTCAGTGGATGTGGGAGAGTAATCTTGGGGTGATATATGCAGATATTACTGCATAACAAACAATCACAAAAAACTAGGTGGTATGCAATACTAAGCCTTGGTTTAGCTTCCACATCTGGAGGCAGTTGATCTAGGCCATACTCGTCTGGGTAATTCCACTGATCTTGCACCTGCAGTTTGGATGGGGTTTGACTAGGTTGGTCATAGTTGGGGTGGGTGGCTGGAATAGCTCTGGTCATTGACCTCTTGGGACTGGTGGGCTAAACCAGGCATGCTCATCTCATCATGAGGACAGAGGTACCACAGAGCAAACACTTTTCAAACTTTTGGTCATGTCATGCCCACTGATATTTCCTTGGCTAAAGCAAATCATGTGGCCAAGCCAGAATTCAAGATATGGGGAAATAGACTCCACCCGTGCAGGCAGAAGGGGACCATGAGTGAATATTTCTGAACAGTAACATAATTGACTACAAGTGGTAGGTGAGAGCTGTGAAGAGGGAGAGAGGTGGGGTTGCAGATGGCATGAGGCCCTTGAATGATGACATAAGCGCAGAGGGGAAGAAAGGATGCTGTCTACTCTGCTCCCATCCTGGGATACACATGGCCCCAACACAGAGCGTTTGGCAAAGAAATCATTTGATTAGAGAAGACGTAGCTTTCTGTATTGCAAGGAGTCAAATACAAACAGTGGGAACTCTGGAGGGCACAGAGGGAAGAATTCAAAAGAGGCATCGGGAGGCGCAGTTGGCTACCCAGGGCCAGAGAGCAGCCGCTGGAGCAGGAAGGTCCTAGCCTTAGGAATAAAGGACACACACACACACACACACACACACACACACACACACTCACACAGCTGCTAGAAGAGCGTGGGCTCACCCGAGGTAAACTCTCTCAAAGCCTTATTATTTTGGGAAGGTGTTGTAAAGACCAGCCGCCACGTTGCCTTGAATGAGACTTTGGGTGCTTCTCTCTTCCGGACTAACTGAGGAGGGCAGATGCTTCTCAGCGAGGAGATAGTTTTAGGGGGAGGTGGTCACAGATCCGTACTATACTTGGGATTTCACAATTGCTTTTACTCTGGCAGGGTGTTGGGAACTTTTTTTTTTTTCTTTTTGGCACTACAAATAAGGAAGCCAGAGGGTGAGTGTGGGAAGAAAACTATTTAAATGAAGATACAGTAATAGAAATAACATCCATCCTTGGAAAGAGAGGCTCTACAAGAAAGGTGGATGGGGTGGGGCACATCAGACCTACACTTTATCTCTTTGCAGAGCCTCTCACTACTTTTTGAAGTTCTTGATCTTTACTTTCCCACTAAGCTCTAAGCTCCTTGTAATCAAGGCTGGACTTGTCTTATTCATAGCTTTATGCCCAGTGCTAGCAACACACTCAGAACATAATAGGTGGATGAGTAAATGCGTGATGAAAAATTTACAAGTTAGTATATCCATCTCCACATAAAAGAATTCCAAACTTATTTTTGGTAATGTCACTCAACAAATATTTAGGGTCCTCTTGAATATTAATCAGGATGACTAGGCATTCGTGAAGTGTGAGACACAGTGCTTGCCAGATGGTTGCTTGACTTCACTTGCAGCGTTGGGAACACTAACTAACAATGCACAGCCACGTGAAAATGTTTCAGACCTCAGTTTGTCCACCTGCAAAAGGGGGAAGCTGAAGCATTCATTCAGATTTCTTTCCTCCAGGGCCTCTTGGAATCTTTAATATTCTATTGTTCATTGTGATCTCTAAAATGGGGAAATAGTTTGATGCTTCTAAAATGTATATTTTTCTTTCTTTTCTCTTTTTGCCTTCAGAGCATTTTGTGGGACTGGTCTTCTGTGGAGCACATGTTTGGAAATGTGGGCTTGACTAATTTTGCTGGATCAATTCTTGTCAAATTTCTTTTGAAGGTCATTCCCCTCCCACCCTCCTAGATGTGCTTGTATCAAATGTAGTAGTACTTTTTTCTCCTTATGCTTAAAATGGGATGGCTGCTTTTTAGAGCACCCAGTGGATTCAAACATCTGGCTATCTTTTGTTCTGATGATGTTGGAGGTGGATGTTTAGGTTTCAGTGCTGGGTTGTGCCTGCTAAGCTTCTACTTTGGTCCACTATCCCCAGAGCACCCTGAACTCCATGGAGGAATTGAAACATCCAAGATAACTCTTTCCCTGAGGGACAGGGGGACAAAGGGACTGGCTTATGTAGAGATGTGGCCAGAGGTTGGGAGGGCGGGACATGCTGACCGGGGACAGGATCAGGAATTCTGAAATTCAGGCAGTTCCAAGGTAAGGTACAGAGTCTAGAAAGGAGGCTATTTGCTGTGTTCTCCGTTCTCACTCTTTCAGATTATGTATCTGGATAAGATGCGGCCTCAGATATTGGGACACCCTGGCTGCCCAGGTGTATGGAGAATGGCCATGGATAGTTGAGAACTAGGCATGGGGATCAAGCTCAGGCCCCTGTCCTGTCTCCCCTGGATATAAGCCATGGCCTCCTTATTAGTCTTTCTGTGTCCTGCTGTATTCCTTTCAAAACCAGGTCCCACACCATCGAAAATACAGACTTTGTTCCATCACTCCGTCTGTTTAAAATCTTCCAACAGCTCCCCAAGACTTTCTTAGCTTGGCATCCAGGACCTTTGGAACTCTGCCCCCAACATGACTTTTTAGCCTTACATTTTTTTCCCACTATTCCTTCCCACCCATCCTACATTCCAGCTAGATAGAACTTCTTATGGCTTCCTGAACACACCATGATCTTTCCTATCCCACTGTCTTTATTTGCGATTTTCCTGCTGTTGGGACACCTACCCTGTGGCCGGGTCTAGCAAAACCACTCGTTCTTTAAGTATCTATGATATCCTCTTATGGTTATTGCTCACACGTCTATCTCCCTTCACCCACTAAACTCTGGCTGGGATCTTTGGGACTCCAGGAACTTCTTACAGGGTGCCTGGCAAGTAGCAGGTTTTTTTTGTTTTTGTTTTTCTTTCTCTTGAGATGGAATCTTGCTCTCTCCCCCAGGCTGGAATGCAGTGGCCTGATCTCGGCTCACTGCAACCTCTGCCTCCTGGGTTCAAGCGATTCTCCTGCCTCAGCCTCCCGATTAGCTGGGATTACAGGCTCGTGCCACCATGCCCTACTAATTTTTTGTAGCTTTATTAGAGACGCGGTTTTACTGCGTTAACCAGGATGATCTCGATCTCCTGACCTCATGATCCACTCACCTCCATGTCCCCAAGTGCTGGGATTACATGCGTGAGCCACCGAGCCCGGCCCAAGTAGCAGATATTTATTAGAGTGTTGTTGATTGAATGAATAAGTGTGTGTTGTGTTGAATGAAATGGAGGTTGTGACTGCTTAACTCCCTCTTGTTACCTTCACCTTTCTGCATGTATTAAAAGATTTATCTAACCTGGAATAACAAATGCCCATCCTGGCATAGCAGAAAGATGGGTATTTTAAAAAGAAAGGCAGTTTTGTTACCTTTCAAGCATAGCAGGTTTTTGAAAGCTAAGGTATAAATAGGTACTAATAAGGAAAGTGGGACAACTAATGGAAAATTACAGGTTGTATTAGTCCTGATTGTATAATAATGGATCATAAACATTCCAGAATTATCCAGTGCGCCCAGAAGTTGAAGCCATGCTGATAGAATAATTTTTTTGAGACTTGGGTTTGAAAAATATACTGACTTTTTAATTTAAAAAACTTTGAAATACTTTTTGTTGTTAAGTAAAACCTGAAACTTGGTAGAGAAAGATATAATTGGGACTTCTATCTTTTGAGGATCATGGAAACTGTATTCAAATTATTACAATCCTGGATAAGCAGCCCTAGATGAGAAGGTTTGATATTATATAATAACTCACTGTTTCAGGGCAGAGTCTGGCATAGGTGGGCCCATTGTGTGCCATCCAAATGCATTTAATTACTGCAGGATGAGCCCATAGGTTTTATTTCGTATGCCCGTTGCAACTGATGGGAAGGTAGCACTGTCGGACTGTTGGGTTGAGAAGGATTCTGAAGCTCCCTCTGGGCTCAACATTATGGTACCATGACTAATTAATGATTGATTATTGAAATGTGCTGTGAACACGTGAAGGGAAGATTCATATATTTTG